AGGGAAAGTAAAAAACGAAAAAGAAGCTACCTATTGCTATTGACAGGAACAGCAATACCTTGCCTATTTTCTCAATTTGCTGCTCAGACGCTGTCATGCAGAGAGCCATTTTACCAACAAAAAAAAACACAAATCTTTCCCGACAGCCCTTCAACAACAAAAACGGCCTCATTTCTTGATAGGTTGGACGTGGTACACCGGAGAGATGCAGCACGAACAACGCTAATGGGGGCAAACGCTAATGGGCACGTCATACGAGACGGCACAAATGCCACGCGTGCTATGAATGATGAGAGTGGGTGTGGTCACAGCGGTCAAGTGAATGTATCAGCGCCTTTTTACTAGGAATACGCTGTAACGCCATCTGAGTAGTGGCTCATCGGGGCAAACACTGCTTGAAATGAAATAATCAGGATCGAATCAAGCCTGACGGCTTATTAACACTACATATTTTACCTGTATAGCTATATTCGCTTTCTCGACATCGTTTATGTCTATAGCTTCAATAAGCATTTCGACGAGGTAGAACAAGTGACATCGAAACGTCTTCAAGTGGTCCCGAATCTCGAAGTCCAAGCCTTGGCCAAGTTTGCTGAGAGAGTACTTCCCGATTGGCGAGTTTGGCGATCGGATCTGAAAACGCCACCCAACTTGATGCCCACTTTTTCGCAAAACCCTTCTACAAATGGGGAAACTAGCTCTTGTGCCTAAGTGTTTCATGTGTTTCGCTGCAATTTGCACACTAAATTGAATAACTCGTTGCATTACATAACCTGTTCGCTCATCGCAGCGGCATCGTGCCCATATAAAATAACTTGGCGCCGCACGCATTGCGCGCACAACACAGATCTGCGGCGAATTTTGATGGTGCGACGAAAATTTTCAAATTTGGCTTGATACACCACGAATATCTGAATTCTCAGCTAAATTCTATCCGCTCCATCATCGACGGCTTTCAACCTCTTTTTCTTCGTCAACCATTATCCTCTTTTTCCCGGTCTCCGGACTGCTTCCGGACAATAAATCTCGTGGCAAACTCCGTACTTCGGTGCGTGCCCCGCCCACCAATAGCATTTGGCCCCCTTCCTTTCGCCGACCTCTACCCCTTTTTTCACCGGTCTCTGGGACCTCTTGGAACCAAATTACGACACTTTTGGCAAACTCCGCCCACTTAGGTGCGTGCTCCGCCCACTAATAGCAGTTGACCTCTTTTCCCTCGCCAACCTCTAACCCCGTTTTCCCATCCTCCGGACTTCTTGGAGCCGAGTTATGAATTTTCGTCGCAAACTCCGCCCACTTTGGTCAAGCCCCGCCCACCGATGACAGCTGGCCTCCACTCCTCCACCCACCTCTTCCACCTTTTTCCCGGCCTCCGGGACTTCTTGGAGCCGAGTTATGAATTTTCGTCGCAAACTCCGCCCACTTTGGTCAAGCCCCGCCCACCGATGACAGCTGGCCTCCACTCCTCCACCCACCTCTATCCACCTTTTTCCCGGCCTCCGGGACTTCTTGGAGCCGAGTTATGAATTTTCGTCGCAAACTCCGCCCACTTTGGTCAAGCCCCGCCCACCGATGACAGCTGGCCTCCACTCCTCCACCCACCTCTATCCACCTTTTTCCCGGCCTCCGGGACTTCTTGGAGCCGAGTTATGAATTTTCGTCGCAAACTCCGCCCACTTTGGTCAAGCCCCGCCCACCGATGACAGCTGGCCTCCACTCCTCCACCCACCTCCATCCACCTTTTTCCCTGCCTCCGGGACTTCTTGGAGCCGAATTACAATTTCGGCGCAAACTCCGCCCACATTGGCGCACGCTCCACCCACCCGTAGCAGTTAACTTCTCTTTCTTTGCTGACCTCTATCCACTTTTTTCCCGTTCTCCAGGACTTCTTGGAACCAAGTTATGAATTTTCGTCGCAAACTCCGCCCACTTTGGTGCACGCTCCACCCACTAATAGTTGACAGTTGTCCCGTGCGTTGTCGGACTCGACCCACTATTTTGGGGTGCGTGACGATTCAATCGTGGCAGTGGCTAGGTCGCCGCGCCAGCCGCCGCAGCCCGCGATGCGACGTCGGCCGTGGCTAGAATTCAGGTTCTAGCATTGGGGAATGTAGGATTAGATGAAGTTTCCAGTCGTGAAACACGGTATATGATCACCTGCCCCCTTAAAATACAGGATCCTTGTCCCTTTGCCATTATTTACAAACTTATTCTGTCATACTGATGTTATGCCTTCCTCACCGTTCCACTGCGTCTTGGAACGTAATATTTTTCCGATTTAGCCAGATTATCGCTCTCTGATAACAATTCAGGCAGTTGATTAATAAAGAAGTCAAATTATGTTCAAAAGGACAACCTTTACATGGCACAAGCTCTGTACAGTGAGGCTTAAATAACTGCGGAGATCTTAAGGTGACTCTTGTTGGCTCACTGATGTCTGGAACTTTGGTCTTATCAGTTCTCTAACCCCACCAGCAACTTATGGACAAGGACCGTTAAGCCAAGGCCCATACAAAAATCGCCGCACGGCTGCCGCGCGCGACTCATTAGCCGACGATTGAATCGACCGTCTCCCACTATTTTGCCAATTTTCTGGACTTCTCGGAACTAAATTATAAGTTTAGGCAAACTCCGCCCACGTTGGTGCACGCTCACCCTAATAGCAGTTGACCTCCCTTCCGTTGACGACTCAATTCACCTTTTTCCCGGTCTCCAGGACTTCTTGGAACCGAGTTATGAATTTTCGTCGCAAACTCCGCCCACTTTGGCATGCCCCGCCCACCAATAGCAGTTACCTCCACACCTCCATCCACCTTTTTCCCGGTCTCCGGGACTTCTTGGAACCGAGTTATGAATTTTCGTCGCAAACTCCGCCCACTTTGGTCATGCCCCGCCCACCGATGACAGTTGGCCTCCACTCCTCCACCCACCTCTATCCACCTTTTTCCGGCTCTTAAGACTTCCCCGGCCCGAATTATGAGGACTTGTAGAAAATGCTGTACACTTCAGAGCGCGCTCCGCCCATTGTGGGCGGCCTCCGCCCACGTCATGTATGCTGGGAAACACCTTAGACATTGCTCCCCTACACCAATTTGTTTTCTGCTCTGTAGGCTTTCTCCCAACCGAGTTATGAAATTTTTCATAAAGCACTGCTTTTTTGGAGAACGCCCCGCCCACCGGGGTGGGTCTCCCTAATTCGATGTGACTTACCAATGCACACCTTTACCCACTTTTTGGCCCAGTTTCGAGGCTGTTTTGTGACTGAATTTGAAATCTCGGTCGTCAGTACACTTCATTTCGACGCACGCCACGCCCACTGTGGGCGGGGCTCCGCTTAGCTGATGTGTGTTTTGTACTTGCCCACCCATCCCACACTTGACCCGGTCCCTCCAGGCGGATCCCGAGGAGCTAGGGAATTTCGTGACAGACATACAGAACGACAGAGAACGACAGACGACAGACGAAGCGCTTTATAGTAAGTAGGATGCTGCGTCAAGAAAATTGATGAGAGGTACTGACTTAATCTGGGATGCAAAAATGGGCTCATTTTAATCAATTCGGAGCATTTGAGCAAAAGTTCTTCATATCAAGGGTTCCTACAGGGTAGGGCATAAAGATGGTAGCTAAGAAACTGTGTTAAATTTCCAGACAGATACCATGAAAATGATCAACCTTAGCTATGCTTAAGCAATGCTAATATTCAACAGCCTGTGTCCCAAAAAGAACAGTCAGCTCACATTCAATATGGCTCAGCTCATATTCTTGTCATGAGCTTCACAACTTCGTTAGAATGTATCCTGAAAGCCTCGACTGGTGCCTGTTTGAGGCTCTGTAGACCTATGCCTTAAAAGAGCATTTTCTAACAGTTAAGTCGAACTGAGCATTTTGTGCAGTCTTCCATTTCGATGGTCATCTAATGAATAATGCGCTGCACTCTAATTGACTCAAAATCTCCTCACAGACAGACACGGTCAGACATGCAAACCGACAATGTCTGCATAACCACATAGCACCAGACTTGCACCTCAAATTTGGTGCCTGAACCATCATATCATGTGAATCCAATCTAAATTGTCAAGTTAGCGAAAGCTTTCTCAGAAATCCTGCCGACAGCACCACAGCACGGCTCGGCTACTACCCCCATATATTGGGTTGTCCCATAATTCCTGTCCGAATTTTGACACTTTCTTCTCATCGAGTTTTATCTTTTCTAAAACCAATTGATCAAAAATATAACCATTATCATAATCACGATATGCATCCATTCGCCAGGGAACCTTTGGATGCTTTCCTCCTAGAATGGGTGAAGCTATGAGCTGAAGAATTCAGCAAGGTCGTTTTTGGAGTGGTTGTATTTAGTGACTTTTTTCTCTCGCCGCTGCTGCCTCAAGGCACTGTGAAGGGGTAGCCCGATGGAGTGATGCCAGGGCTATACGATGGACATGGTATCGTGGTCCAGCCAGTTTCCCTCAGAACGTAGCGAGTTATCTTTGCAATGTGAGGTCGGGCGTCTATTCGGAGAAAGGGGATTTTGGGACGTTTAGGACGGTTTTCTCCCACTACTGCGGCCAACCCGGGAGCTGTTCCACGATGGCATTCGCAATACTTGTCCGCATATAGCAAAACAACTGTGAAAGCGGACCCACTCAATCTAACAAATCAAAAGCAATATTCTCTGACCACGGAGTTTGGGCTTTTGTTGAGCTGGTGAGCCCTGGCTGCGAGGTAGCCATCAGGCGTGCTGCGTGTTGTTGTCGTAGTGAACTCATCCTCCACTAGTGATCAACTAGGGAACGCTCTGCTATGAGGTCACAGAATGAAATTCCCCCAGAGGGTCAGACCTGCTTCTCGGTCATGGCTGGTCGGTGCATATGGTTTCCATCAAGTCTTCATTCTGCTGCAGCCCACTTCATCCTGATGGCGTGTGCTGGTGCATCGGCTGCGCCCAGGTGTCTGCTACAATACCCTGGTAGTAGCGTCCGTGTGCACTTCCAATCCATGGCGCAAGGGGTCCTCATCGAAAGTGAGTGGAGGCCCAGGATGAGGCTGATTTTCACAGCTCGTATTGTCTTTGCCATTGCGACCGAACCTCTAGCTCAGTGACCGATCAGTAGCAGAGACTGAGCCAAACACAGCGCTGATCTTCTCTAGTGTCCTCCTTGCAACAGCGTCTATTTGAGGATCATAAAGCATAATCGTTCGTTATTGCTCATTGATCTATTTCGACTTCTACTCAGTTATTCCGATGCGGGTTTGACCTTCCAAAATGTCCTGGCTAACGGTCTAGATGCACTCTTTGACATACCAACATATTTCGCAATGACACTAATTCGACTTGAAGAAATTTGAATTTGATCAAAAACCGGACAGGATTATGGGACAACCCAATACGAAAATTGAGAGAGCATTTCCAGCACCTATTAATTGTGTGACCCATTTGGTCATGCAAACATTGTAACAGTATTTAACAATTATTGTATTGTAGCGTGACCGCCTTTGTCGCTGGTTTTCAAGCAGTATTGTCCGCGGTAAAAGCTACTTGCCCCTTACTAGGTCTTCTTTTTCATTTACCAGTGCATAGACGATTTTGAATGCTCTACAAACCTCTTCCATTTCCGATATCCAATCTTTTTCCATAGGGATTCGTGGCAAGTTTGGATCGTTATCTTGCGAAATTAGGAATACCAACTCGAATAAACAAGACAGAGTTTGTGTTAGTCGATGGGGCTCTTCAACAGCGAAAATGGCAGGATAGATGCTGCAAATGCTTGTTAGTCAAGGTGAAAGGTCACGATTGTATCCTATGTTCAACATGAAAAATTTTCTCACTGTTCGAAAACTTTTGGAAACACCCTTCCTGGACAGAGTGCGCACAGTATCATCACCAGTTTGGACGGAGCCTTAAATTAAACTACATCATTTGCGGAACAGTTCAACCCTTCAGCATGAACTTGTTTCAAGTTTGCACTGTGAACATAAATCAGGTAAGACCAAACAATGTGTGATGTCGCTTTCGAAAATTGAAAGTTCCAGTTAGAACATAGGAAGGTTGTCGAGTTTTCTTTTCATGTTTGAAAGCTACACAATATCAAGCATACCGAGCCCAGAAAGGTTCGATTACTTGGCTGCATCATGTTGGTTAGTCAATGAGTACAAACAGTGCTCATTCATTCTGAACACTGGCTCTACTGGAACAAAATTTAGCCTGTTCATTGAACTATATTCCAGTCTTAGATTGTATTCTTTTGTGGATGGTGATGGTCGGACGTCCATATTCTCCATTAATGTGTGCGAAACATGAACCTTTACTTGGCTTCTACATTACTGAGATCTTCTCCGAGGTGGAGTTCGACACAGAGGTGGATGACGGAGGGTGCCGATGTAAGCTCTAAGGCGGAGCATTCCTTAGATTTCGCTCATATGTAAGAGCAAGCCCTCCTTGGCTGCCCTAATTGTCCTCAGGTTATGACGTCATCTGCCATCACAGTCGAGCTAAAGGAGGCCTCCCCTTATCGCTCCAGCCTGAAGTAGTGTCCCTAGACAGCTACCCGTTGGTTAGCCAATAGATAGCTTTCTACGTACACCAGCTCTAATTGCGCAGGACCTTTTTTGACCTGCGTTTCGGATAATGCCGTATCGGTCCATGTTTCGTCGACACCTTGCACCGCACACCTTGCTCCCGTGAGAGAATCTTTTAAAGCCGTCAGTGTAGGAAGTTTAATGATAGATCGAAATGCGCTCTCCATTACGCATTTGGCATTCGATTTAGCCAAGCAGAGCGCAAATATTCACTTTGGAATGTGTGAGGAGAGTGACTCTTTTTGCCTTTTTGCCGAGTCTCGTTTCGAATCCGGATTACGAAAAAAGTCCATTTCTCGACATGTTACAACAAAGAGATGCATTGCGTTCTCCTTAATCACAGGCCATATCTCGTCCGAGACCAAAAAAGAGTAGTTGCCCAACTGTCTGAAGCATCTGCTTTCCTCTGCTACATTCACCCAAACGAGGTTTCCTGTTCAAATATCGATTACGAGAAAAGCCAAAAAAAAGTTCGCGCTGGGCAGCGCATTTTTGTTAGCCATTTTTGGTTGAGGCGAGACGTCGATATGCGAAGTCCAGTCGCAACTCTAAAAACCCCAACAGTGCTCAAATGATAAATTGTCCTAAATCTCCACAAGCTCCTTGCCGACATCGAGCAGCACTTCGACAGTCCGAAAACCCAGTAAGGCAGTTTCTTAGTTGAAGATAAAGAGACTCAGGCGCAAATCAATCTTCAACATTACAAGCTCGAGTTCTTCAGCATAACTGCTGATTGTGAGCAAGGCACTTCCAGCACCCTTTCTTTTCGTGCATGTCTCTGAACTTGCTCTTCACGCAGTCGAGGCGTAGACGAGTTGTAGAGCACTAGCATAGTTGATAGGCCTGGACTCGTGGATATGCAGTCGCTCAAACAGTTTCATGGCCGTTTGCTTTTTTCAACAGCATCGTGAAAACTTTAAACCTTTTAGATTGATCATCTATAATTGCCTGTAAAGTGAATTTGCGAGCGATTCATACGCACAAGCACACTTGCTCATCACGCGATGATTCTCACTGCGTATACGTGACATTTTCGCACCAAACCACTGTGATATTCGTGCTCATATCAAACTACCCAGGTGGCGTCGCGCTCGCGAAATCTGAGATTTTGACCCAAACTATGGAAAGCAGAATTTAGTGATGCTTTTCTTCAAAGTACTACCCTGGCAGAACAATCATGGTAGTTCAGTTTTGCGTTGGAATTCGCCTCTGGTCATGACAACTCAGCAGTAGCCTCCGAAACATCCTTCGCAGAGCTGTTGACAACGTAATACGAATGATATCTGAGAGTTACCCCAGATCAAGACCAGGCTTTCATGACAGGATGCTGTACATTTAGGTGACTGCCTAACTTTTCGACTTTGCAGGTCGAAGTTTCATATCGGCCAAAAAAGTAATTACGAATATTACACAGTATTCGTTCAGAAACCACCGGCTTCAAACCCTTTGTTCTGTAGAAAGGGAGCAGCGGCTGAAGTAGTGGAAGCAACTGCTCATACTCTTCGTGCAGCAAATTATAAGCAGGCGTAGACACTTTCCTGGAAGTCTTTCCAGTCACACTGCCAGAAAACGAATTGTCCATGTTCGACCTTCTTGCAGTCTTGGCATGATGAGTTAGCCAGAAATAATTCTTAACGCCTTTCAAGATTGAGCACATATTAGGCTTACGTTTCGGCTCCTTGCCTTCGTCAAAGCCTCGAGTGGTCAAAAACGAAAAGTGCCATGCTTCCATCGATCAATACCGTTGGGCGGTTTACTAATCTAGTGAAAGTGTCTTGAGTTCCTTGTTGAGTTTGAGCGGACAAGTTACATTTGTTTTTGACCATTTCAGGCTCTCATGAAGGCGAAGAAAAACGAAACGTAAGTCTTGAAAGGCTGGAAGAACTACCTCTGCTGAATACGAATTGACCCCTGTTTGCTTTATAGCTACTTTCAGGGATATGAGTCAGCGTGTATGAGTCAGCGTTCAAATACTTATCTAAGAGCACGAATCTCTTTTTGAATGAGGTAACGCTTTATCCCTTACTTTAGACGTCACACCATCCTTGGTATACATTGCATAAAGAAGTGATGGCAAAATGGCTTCTGTGAATTGCACAATATCCTCGTCAGTTAGAAAGTACTCCTTCGGAACCTAAATACTTTGCTTAGGCTTGTGTCCGTTTGTGTTGTCATACTGCTAGTAAGCCGCAATTAAATCCATTCGCTGATAGAAACCAACGCAGCTCAATGACCTGTTTTCGTTTGAATTTTCGCCATGCATGAACCTACCTTCCTTTTATGTTTTTTAATGCGCTCTTCCTTGTATCGATTGACCGTCTCTTGCAGAACGTTCTGGAGGAATACTAGTACAAGTAAGGTGTGACTACTTTCATTCGACGGATGCATGAAGGGTTCCACCATTTTCATCATTCTCTGGAGATGACCTTGACATCTGAAATCTTGATGGAGCTTGATTTGGTTGTAGGAAATCGATATTAGGGAAATATATGAATGACAATGGGACCCCTACTTCTTTCCTGGATAGGACACTGAAATAAGACCCTCTGCAATCGGGAACCAACCCTTTTGCACTGATCCTCAAAAATGAGGATAGGGAGCAGCAATGAAAGCGCAACACAGCCTTAACCCCGAAATTCTGATTTGGAAGAAATCCATAGTGAAGGAGTGGGGAGTCATGAGCATGCTTCTGCTGTTGACGACGACCTTCTGAAAATTCCCGTAAACGATGTTCTAGACCAACCGTGCTATAGCAAGCAACAGGACCTGCAGTAAGCGTACTAAAAATATTGGGGCTTTTAGAGATAAGTGGGAGGGGAAAAGCTGACGGGTGGCTTCCGTATGGGCTGACTGAAACGGCAGCAATTCTGTCCTCTCAGAGGATCGTTACCACCGATTCTACGTAACAAAAACTACTAGTATTCAGAATGCATTGCCATTTACAACGGAAAGTGGACTCTTTGCGATAACAGGAACGTATCCCTCTGAATAGTCAGACCGCGACGAATCTTCAGAAAATTCTCCAAAGCCGGATTTATAGAAGATTGAAGTTCAGCTGAACATTCGGCGGTCTTTCACGGGATTGATGCAACCAAGCCTTTTGGAAACCGGGTGAATTAACATAACACCAATGTCTCTTTAGCATACCGATGAGATGCTCTAGAAACATCAAGTTCGTCAACCGAGAGAAGTGAAGGAGGTCTTCCTACATGGTGGCGCTTAGCCACATGTCCCATTAACAACCTCGCAAGGATTGAACAGGCTGGCGTACGAAACTTCGATCCACACGTCATAATCTATAAATCTCTTCCTCACAAATACCCCCTTTCCCAATCATCTCGACAACTTTTTTCTTTTTTTTGTGAAAATGACGCTCGACGATTTCATCGCCTCCGGAAGCGCTGATCTTGAAGTGGGAAGGACGATCGAGTATAAGTTTTTGTTAAGAAAGATCAGTGTTTTCCAATGGTTTCACTTCCGACTGAAAATGTTTAATTTGAGTACGAATAAAAATCCTACTATATATAATCGGCTAAGCGGTTGTGCGTGTGTGTGTCTGTGTGTGTGTGTGTGTTTGTCTGTCTGACCGGAAATTCATAGCTCGGGCACCAGTGGTCGTCAGGAGTTGGTTTCAAGATATGATATAGGGGGTGGGACGGGAACATATTTGGTGGGGTACAGAAAGTGATAACAACTGATAAGGGCTGATAAAAGGCGCTAGAACGCAAGTGTCGCGAAATTCATAGCTCGGGCACCAGTGGTCGTCAGGAGTTGGTTTCAAGATATGATATAGGGGGTGGGACGGGAACATATTTGGTGGGGTACAGAAAGTGATAACAACTGATAAGGGCTGATAAAAGGCGCTAGAACGCAAGTGTCGCGAAATTCATAGTGCGCTTCGCAGCAGTCGTCAGGAGCTGATTTTGGGACATGATATAGGGGGTGGGACGCAAACATATTTGGTGGGGGTCACCAAGTGATAACGACTGATGACGACTGATATAACGACATGCGTACGAACGTAGAGAGCACTTGAAATAGAGAATAGAGGGCAGATAATGCCTTTTATTTCAATATCATTTCATCAGCGTTGTAATTGTAAACTCAAGCACCTTTCGACCGCTACTCCTTCTAGAGTTCTTGAGGATGATGGGATGCTCGAATAAATATGATAATGAATACTGGGCATTCCGTTTTGAGATATTCGACCGCTAAATTACCTCGATACTCGACGCATAGTGGTTGTTTACATCATCACTTTAGCTGTGCACTTCACTGCGCTTATCAAACAGTGAGATACAGCCAAGATGGGCAGCCTATGCAACGGACAGTAATACATTTAACGAAGCAGCTATAATTTAGCGGTGAAACCTAAAGCTTCATCGATTGTCAGTTCTATCAATGCGCGCGGTAGCGGGCGGAGCTAAACTGGTAAAATAATACTGCTGCAAAAATGAACAAAAGCCCGCATCACATTCCGGATGACCTAATACATGGTGCCGCCGTGGCAGCTGGGGTGGAAAATAGAAAGGGGGAGGGGAGGTGTCGCAAATTGCGAGGATCACTGCAAGGGAATCTCCGGGTGCGCCGGTGCCTGCG